TTACATATTAATACAGTAAAACACAACTCTGATAAAAGTGTGGTTATGTAGCACTGTTGACCGTGCGGCCATTGCTCCTTGCCCTTTCGCCTTTATTTGTTTAGAATGCACCTGCTGCCCTTTTTCCTTTCTTTTTTAACACGTAGAAAATTATATTTCAACAATATACTTTACTTATGTGATATAAAACCACAACTAAGTCATCACTTGGTTTCTTTGCAGAGTAATATGGGTCACTAAGTTCTCTGTCAACACCTCAACTGCTGATTGGAGCCTAGATGAGCTCAATAATAATAATTAAAGTTGTTGCGGGGACTGTTGACTTGATAACAGCCCAGTAGGGTGCAATAAAGATAACCTAGCTGGGACACAGTTCAACTGCTAACTCTTTGAAGCACTGCGGCTGCAGTAAAAGGAGATTCAGCTTTGATAGTCTCATATAAATGCTGTTTGAGCTCTCCTATTGGGAGAACAACGATCTGAGTTCCCATCTATGGGAAGTAACCAGTTCATCTTCCACTCACGTTTAATTGTCCAGGTTTACTGACAGCACCTCACTCAACAAGGGTTTATGACTTCAGACGTTTATGTGCCATTTCGTGAGCCAACAGAAAATTCTCAGGGTGTGCACTGTCAGCATGTGACTGGCTATTGATTTGAGCAATGAAAGTGTAATGCAGGAAATTGCAGGATTACTTTGGCATTTATGCTTGTTTAAAATATAAAGGAGAATCCTGCTAAAAATGAAAGATTGGTTACAGGTCATAGCTTAATGGGGAGACACCAATCCATAAGAAATTTTTGGCTGAAGGTTTGTCAAGGTGAATGTCTTTTCTTTGTTTTAATGCAGCAAACCCTCGAAAACGGTAGATTCACTTGTATATGACAAACATAAAAGTAAAATGTGTACATTTAAGAACAAGGTATATGTTATGAAAATATTTGCAGCAAATATATTTTTTCTTAAAACTGACCTGCTAAACATGTAATGATAGGTTTTCTTATTCCTTAACCGCTCAACGAATATAAGGAATCATCCCATATCTTTTGGCTAGCAAATCAATGAGAACTTCGACACCGTTTATGAGTTTTTACACAACAGATCATCCACCCTGTGAGGCAGTGTTCTGATCAGATTGGTGTAATGAACAAGGCATATTTGACTGAGTGTATGTATAATGTGATTAAGGTTTGCAATTTGCGTGTCTGCATGTGTCCCTGGGGCAAGTTGATTGTAAGGGTTGTAAAAGTGTGTGAAAGAACATGCAGAGACACAGAGCTTATTGGGTCTAATTAAAAGCACGGTAGAGATTTCAGGGGTTTTGTGAAAGAGTGTGAGTGAAAAGAGGGGGAGTTCACGCGGGTGTGTGTGTACGGCTGTGTGCGTGCGCTCGGTGGATTCAGTGCGATCGGCCATCAAATGAAACAATGTATTCAGTGGGACCTCGGGGTTTCCATTTGAGTATTCGGACACGGCACTCCAACAAACTGTGGCTGTTTTATGGAAGAAGAAAAAAGTTGATAATTAGTCCCTTAGTGACTGAGGGATGAGATGGAGAGTAAGAGGAGGGGGAAAGGAGGCACTAAAGGCAGAGAAGAGAGTGGTTAGCGCATTTAATAGTCCATCCCAACACTGTCTGGGAATGATTAATCAGCTGTTTTTATTTACTTTTCCTTTTTAATGCTCATTTGTCTCATTCTTTCTGACTTTAATTTACCAAACAAATATCTATTTGACAAGACAATATCAGCCCTTTGTCATTTGATCTCATTCTTTTATGTAAGCAGTAATTCTTTTTTGTTTTTTTGTTTTTTTTCAGAAAAGACTCTGGTTATAATTAGCAATTTAAATAAAGACAAGTCACTGGATAATGTTCTGCAAAACTTTTCCCAAAACAGTCACAAGTAAAGGCAACATTTTTCTGAAAGTTGGCATATGCACTAGTATAAATGGAAAAATGCCGATTCCAAAGACATAGCTTCAACTCTTTTCTTTTATGTAAATATTTATTTACTGGATGAACGGATAACATAAAGAAAAAAAATTGCAACTTCTTAATGTTTTTTACTTATAGAAAGTATTTTTCTAATTTCACTTATTTTATTTCAATAGATTTTCAGCCAATATGACCCTTTTTCTGATACTCTTGAGTAAAAACCAACAGTTTCAAGGCATCTTGGGGCAAAACTCTGATAAACACTTATGAATCTAAGGGCTCATAATAGCCCCAAAAAATTATAAAAGCTTAAATATTCCTGTTAAAATATTTTTATAGTTGTTTTTATTTTTCTGCAGTATCAACACCATGATCACACTATGCTGAGAAGTATCTCCGCACAACATTTTAAAAAACTTTTTATGGAAAGAACAGTGGTGTCCCTTTTTTCAGCCAGCTGTTTTACAGTCTGCAGCAACAGGTGAGAAAGGGAAGTGGAATTGTATAATCTATGCTTCAAAGAGCCCAAAATTGCCGTCAGTCTGACATTTTTTCTTCCATTTTTTAAGGACAACTGAAAAATCCTCTGGTAATTAGTACCTTTTGTAGCCTACACATTATTAACAAATTTGCACACTTTTCAATTCTGTTCCCTAATTTTTGATATGGATCTAAACGTTAACATTGAAAATGCTACACCATACCCTGGGGAGTATTTTTTACTCCACTTAAACAGAGTTTCATATTACTCTTGAGTTATGACTGGAAAAAGGTAGAGAAGAAAGAGTTATTTTGCAAATATGTCGCAAAGGTTTAGGCGTGAGAATGTTACACAAATTGACATTACTTTAATAACTGAAGTTAACTCATAATTTAACAACTCTAAAACTTTTTCATCCATGTTTTTCTCGCATAATAACAGCAAGCCTTCTTTCTACCCTCCCTCCCTCATTGACCTGCGTAGGATGTCTGTGAGTGAACGCTTAAAGCACCCAGTGCTGGGTTGGCTTATGTAAGGCAATGTTAACACTTCTCTGAGGTGTTTGTGGTGTGAGAGCCGATTCAGGATCTCGTCAGGAGGTCAGACAGCTGAATGGCAGCAGGAAAAAGCACATGTCATGTTTGTTTGGAGGCTCCTTTGTCACAGACGCCCAAACCCCCACCATTCCTGGCCTCCTCTTAGCCTTATTTAGCCCCCCGCCATGTCACCCAGAGGTCAGAGCGAGCTGCAGCTCATACATACACAAGCCACACGAGAGCAGACAGACACACACATGCATACAGATTGTAATAGCATGGTAGACTGCATCATAGATGGAAGTGCCTTGAAGGACCTGCTTCTCATTCTCTAGACCTCATTAGTTGCTGATTTATCTCCCCCTCCTTCCTCCTAATGCTCTTGGTGGGTGGATGTGTTGTGTGTGTGTGTGTTGTGTGTGAGAGAGAGAGTTGGTGAGGGAGGATGTGTTTGTTGGAGGTGGGTATTGTGTGGAGCAAAAAGTAATAACATTTTTATTCCCACAGATTAGTGTCTGTCACCTAATTAGAAAAGACGATTTAAAGATTGCCTTATAGTGCATGCAAGACTTTGTCCAGAAATGCAAAGTCTACATGGTAACTTGGTCACTTCAAAGTAGCCCACTGTGATCAGCCTCATCCTGGGGTCATAAAATTAATAAAAGATCAGACACACAAGCGCAAAGCTCTGAACTGTTTAAATATTCTGCAGTCCCACGCTTCATAATCATGACAAGCGCATAAAGCACTCAGGTTTGCCATTATCCATTTAGCACATTTTTGACTTGTCTTGCAATAATCTCATAAATCCCCCAGTGAGCTTATTATTGTTAGGAAAAAGTGCTTATAGCTGTGCAGAAAGGTGGGGATTAACCAAATACACACCATGTATTTTGCAAAAGCAATTAGCAGTAAAAGTAGAAGTCCTAACAAAGTGAAGTTAATGTTATGATTATTTTCCCGATACCAACTTTAAAAAAAAAAAAAACACTTACCTGCTTCTTCTGAATAATCACAGTACTTTATGCCCTGTTAAAATGTAAAACAGATTCTGAGGTTTATGAAGCAACTGCTGGATGACTATACTTCTGCCCTACATAATTTATTGTCTCCTGGGAATTCATCTCTCCGAAGAACATTCTTGCTTTTACCTGATTCCTTCTACACAATCTTCCCAAGAGGCATTTCAGAGGAAAACAGAAAATAGGAAGATTTCATCATGCAACACATGAGCCACAATTAAAGGACTCAAACCTTAAAGTGTCAGTAAGAACTCCACACATACGGTATATTGATCTCCCTGACAAAACTAAAGATACTGCTAGATAATAGGCTAGATACTACTTCACCTCGTTACCCTTTGTTTCTGTTGGCCAAGTTAACCAAGTTCGGTTTAGTTAATAACATGAAAAATGGCAAAGCTGGGATATTTTTCAATTAAGAAGGTTTTACTATCATAACAAGATTAATAGTCGTAGTTTGATGAAAAACAATTAATTTTTTTTATATATTACTTATTTCTAACCTGTTCGAATAATAAAAGAAAAGTAGTGTTTTTGAAATGCAATATCGCATAAAAAAATGAATCTGCAAAATATAAAATTAGATACCTAATTATTCTTGAATTGCAATTAATTATCTATACTTCATGTTTGTTTTTAAGGTTAGTGTAGATGCTATTTCTAAACATCTAAATTATAAAAGTATATATGAAACATAGGGTATAAATAAAGTCAAAAATGCTTATAAACCCTAAATCTGCTGAAGAGGATTAATCAGCTTCTTGATAGAGTTTCTCTTTTCTCTGTAGAATATTTTTAACACCTTAAGTAGATGTTATGAATGATGGTAAAGGATGGCCAAATCAGCTCGCTTTTTGCATGAAAAAAGTAACAATTGTGTTGCTTCAAAACTGAGACACTAAGGAAAAAATAAACAATTTCAAACGTGATAAAAGATTTTGCATTGTGTAAGCTCAACTACAGAATTTAAGTTCCAATCCTTCTGCTGCTGTAACCTCTTCCTTTTTTTTAATGCTTTCTGCAGATGTGAAGAACTTGGAGAACTTCCACCTGGTGGAGAGCGTCCAGGAGCAGGTCAACGCAGCACTGCTGGACTACGTCATGTGCAACTACCCCCAGCAGACAGACAAGTTTGGCCAGCTGCTCCTTCGGCTGCCGGAGATCCGAGCCATCAGCCTGCAGGCCGAGGAGTATCTTTATTACAAACACCTGAATGGCGATGTGCCCTGCAACAACCTTCTCATCGAAATGCTGCACGCAAAAAGAGCTTAATGACTGGACGGTCCCGATTCACACGGCGAATTCAAGGACATTTGTAAAAACTCATCATCATCTTTTTTTCTATTTCCAAACCTCCAGCTTGACCACAAAGATGGTAAAGGCGGGTAGCTTAAAGTGCATAAACTCTTATTTATACTGAGCTCATTATGAACTTGAACATTCAAAGAGTCATCATGTGCATTCGACAAACTGCATTAAGATTCCTTTACTGTAAAAATTCAAATTAAAAAAGACTGCAAGATGACTGTTCTCCACAACTGAACTGCAGAAAAAGACCATTTTGAAGGGCAAACAAGAAAGAAAAACACTTGAAGTAACTTCTACGTTTGACACTATGTGGTCATTTCAGCTGGAGCAAGGCCATGAGTCAGGAGAGTTACAAAATAAAACCTTCAGAAAATAAAAAAAGGTGGATTCATCCAGAGCACAGAGTTAAATAACATAACACTGCCCATCTATCAGTAAGCTTTGTAGCAACAGGGCAATGATCCTCTTGCTTGTTCTCTCACTGAAACTGGGCTTCCGCTGTTGTCGGTACTGAAAAGTCAAACGGACATGCAGCCAACCAGGCAAGTGACTCTATTTTCTAATTTCCCACATAATGCCTGCAAGAGTAGCTCAAACCAACTGAGGAAGTAGGACAAATAAAGAAGAAAAAACTAAAGGAGGAAATGCTCTTTTGTCTTGTATCAGAAATCACTTGCTATCATGGTTCTCCTCCTCCCCTCCATTTTATACCACATTATAAGAATCATCTTTTGCTATTTACCTCAATAAGGCCAGTGTTAGAAAAGATAATTCATAGCCCAATTTTCCTCCTGCAGTTCAAACCATTTTTTTCATTATTTTACCAAACCTGACACAAAACAAGTCATTATTGCAGAGAAGGATACGGATTGATCCCACCTTCCCCTGAAAAGACCAAAGCCTGTTGTAGAAGAGGGGAAGGAAATGACTAAGACCTTAATAATCAGTGTTACAGACGGAAAAGAAAAAAAAGTGTAATAACACAGTTATGTTGGTCCTGCCTTATTTCATTACCATGCTAGCTAACCGTGCAGATGTGAATGAAAATGTATAAATATATAAATATATATATAAAGTATTAATGTTGTAAGAAAATAAAAAAAAGAATAATTAAACAGGTGTTTACATTCATGTTGTCACATGGGAGAGATCTGTAATGAAGCTTAATTTGCAAAGCAATGATTTCCTAAGAAAATGAAGTCATCAAAATGAAGAAAAGCATTTCTCCTGTGTTTTCTCTGGTTTGTGTACAGTGTTTACTTTTTTTTTTTATTTCTCTATAACAGTACTTAAATTATGTCGTGAGACACTAAAATCAAAGAGGAATCACTCAGTTGAAATTTCTTATCAGCGATGCTGTCTAACGATTGTGTTTTCCTCTCAGCATTTCATTTGTAAATCCCTCTTTTTGTTTTGTTTTTTTGTTTTTATTTACAATTTTTTTCGATTTTTGGATGTACAGTATGTCACTAGTTACGCTTACTATTGAAGATAATTTATTGCATCACTGGGTCTCCATCTTTGTGTTACATGACGTGAGGTGTCCACGCCAAAATAAATTTGTTTACTGTAGCATGCTCTCTGTTTTGTTTCCATGAGTGGTTTCCAGACACAAAAATAACTTTTTATTATAGACTTCTTTAAAAGTCCATCAAGGTCTGTACATCGAGTATTGCAGGGGTTTAAACAATTGTGTCGCAAGTCTTACTAAATTTGAAAATCAACTTTTTTTCTGTCTGATTTGCTCTTATACCAAATACTGCTTATTTCCTCTTTAATGGAAAACCATTAATCTGCACAAAACTGATGCAAAGCAATGGAAATAAGAACTAAACGTGTTGGTGTATTTCTGAGACCAATGGCGTGAAATCTTTCCCAGATGTCGGTAACTCGAAGACTATTAAGTTTACTTATAAAGAAATATCCAGTAATCAGCAGAAAAGCCCGTTTGATAATGATAGTTTATCACGTGTTAAGTGGAGTCTTCAGTCTTTTGGAAATTAAAGGTAAATAAAGGTCAAGTTATCGGACAAGTCACTCAGTTAACTTTGTCCTTCTCTAAAACCAATACAGAATTCCAATGGCTGGGTCTTTGGGGTAATTTTCTAGAAATGGAAAAAATGCCTTCACTTAATGCTCAATGTCTCATCAACAATTTCCCTTTATATTTCTTTGTTCAACTCTCCTTCAGTTGTATAAATTCTTCCATTATGGTATGTTGAAGGACGGCCTATTTTATACTGTTCCCTCAAGACGTTACAGTTGGTGCGTTTTGGGTTGTATAGAGAGCCATTTTGTCTCTAAACATGATGTGTGTCATGACAACCACAGTTTGGTTTTACCTTAAAACAAATCCTTCTCATATTTTATTGGCTTTTCCTTTTAATTCCAACAAGCTTCCACATGAATTTTCTACTGCAGTCTTGTAAGGTGAACGGGCTCGGAGGCCATGGAAGCTGAGTGCATTACTTTTGTTTTGTTTTTTTCCTGGAAGATTTCATCTCTTATGTACCCTAAAAATAAGTTCATACATAAATTAATAAAAGTTCATAAATCCTATTTTCACAGACATAAATACAATAATATGTTAACATTGTAAATGAATGACATTATAAAAGAAATTTAAAAGACATTTAAGAAAAATAAAAGACAATTCATTAGATAAATAGCAAAACACCAAAGAAAGTGTAACGTCTAAGGTGCATGAATCAGATCCATGGTTAATCACCAGTTTTATTTATACAGCAGAAATTGTCTTCAGGTGTCAGACTAAATAACTTTCACTATTTCTTGAAGAATCAAAGTCTTCGCTTTAACTGCATTCAGAAGTTTAGAATTAGATCCTTCACCAAATGCCATATTCATGTTTTGCTCCAATATGGTTGCAGAGATCCTGAAATTATCTTTTATTTCATTAACTGACCCATAATAACAGTGATGCTTCTTTTCTGCAAGAATTCAATACTTGATCTTTCATTCAGAGTTATTCCAAATAATTTGATTCTGATCTTTTAATCAGCAATTTAAAAGTATAAGATACACTTATTCAGATAATGTGAACTTCTTTTGGTGTAGAGAAACTTCATTCCACAAGCAGGAAACACAAAGGACATTATAAAGCTCTCCTCTTTCTGCATTGTTGGAAAACATCCTGCTTTAACCCATTGGAGTCTTGTTTTTCTTTTTCTTTTTAGATATAGTTAAATGAAAGCTTTCGAATAAGAAATTAATATAGTGAGTTATACATTAAAAGCCGTGGAAAGCAGTCCAGCTGTTTGCTTGTGAACAATCTATACTTAGGCTATGTGCCAGATAGACTGTGTGCACACACAAAAAACACTTGAGAACACAGTAAAACTTCTTTTCCCAGCTAATGTACAACTTTAAACTGCTGCTGAGAAACTGAATGTATTCATTTCATCTTGGTTTTGATATATCTTTCTCTGAGGCAGATTATGTCATTGTTTAACAAATTATTAGATTACTTATTAAACTGATTTATTTTGCTTTTTAGTATTAAAAAAGCTAAACTATGAAACATTTAAATGAACAAAATATCCATTATATGCAGGAACAAGCACTCAAATACATCTTTTATTAGAAAAAACAACCAAGTTTAATGCATCACATTCCTAATAATCTAACTGAATCAGTACCCAGAACTGCAGACTCCAACTTCCAGTTCAGATTCTGTCACATTTGGTGTTTTAGTTAATGGTTAAAGTTCGAGTTAAAAATCATCAGAGAAATATTGTCAACTCAAAGTGAGAATGGGCCAGATAAATACAATATATGGTAACTGTATAGCAAGGAAACAAGAGGATCTTAAACTAAGCTTTATTTTCTTACTAAATATATTGTCTGCATAGGGAAAAAAACACTATATTACACACAGGCTACATTTGAGGTGTTACACCTACATATCATCCAGTACATTGCAAAGTTGATGTTAAAGTTAGAGTGAGTACTTCCTCCATCCTTTACCACAAAAACAAAGGTAACTGTAACAAACACATATTTATTCATGGTGGGGGAAAGCGAGGAAAACAGGAAGCTGCAAACTCAACGTCCATGGGAACATGAAGACTGCATCCAGCTGGCAAAGTATCCACTTCTTCAGGTGGGGGCTCCTGGGTGCAGGGTGAGAAGAGGCAACTGTTCAGTACCAGAACTTTGTCAAACCAGAATTTATAATTAAAAAAATGAACAGTTGGTTTAATTTTAAAATAGACATTAAATAAGAGCAAACATATGCAGTCACCTTTAGTTCATTGTAGCAGCTTGAATCATAACATTTTTTTATTTATTTGAGTAAAAAAAATGCTTTATTAATCACAGGATAAATTAAATGTTGTAGAAACTTATAGGGTTTCTTTTCCACACAGGTTTTGTAGATGTTTAGGTCTGTTGGCAGGAAGGATTTTCTGCAGCTGTCTGTCTTGCAGCAGATCTAGAAAAGCCTCTGACTGAAGACTATCTTCTAATATAGTGCCTTGCAATTGATATAATACCTCTTGTACTTTCTGCATTTTGAAAGTACACTATTATAGAACTCAAGTAGAATGTGCATTTTTAAAATGTCTCTATTAAAAAAAGTCAAGTTTGAAAAGAGTGTTGTGCATTTTTTCTCAGAATCCTTTGTTTTGTATTACTGAATAAGATTAATTTAAAAAAAAAAGGTATTTTCCTTAATACACACCCACCCACTGCTGTAGCAATGCAACAGTAGTGAAAGGGAACTTATCAAAACTGATGGAAAGAGGGATAGATGAAACACACAGCCAGAGTAAAAGTTGAAGATCAATGGTTTGGAGTATTTTAGAACAGGTTCATCAAAGCACCTCCTTCTTGACAGACCTCTTTACAAAGTAGTGCAACTATTTATATATATATATATATATATATATATATATATATATATATATATATATATATATATATATATATATATATATATATAAGGAATAAAACATATATATATATATATATATATATATATATATATATATATATATATATATATATATATATATATATGTTTTATTCCTTATATATATATATATATATATATATATATATATATATATATATATATATATATATATATATATATGTTTTATTCCTTTTGGGTTAAATATGTAAACATTCCCAGACCTAAAACCTGATTTCAGCATTAAAGGGAAAACTAAGTCCCAGCACTTGTTGTTGGTTCCCTGTTTTCTTTGCTTCTGTTCTTCAGTTTGTATTAGAGATCCCCTGGTTTTAGATTGAATAAAATGTATTTATTTGAGTGGCCCTGTCAAATCCAGCATTAGTTTTATTGAAAGTCCGTAGCAAGACTTAAAAGTTGACGTTAATAAATCCTGTCTATCTAATCTGAATAGGCTATGCTGCTAAAAGACTGAAATCTCTAGATATATAAAGCTGATAGAGACATTTCCTAAAACATGCAGAAAAGATATTTACAAAGTATTAAATGGTCGGAAAATATTCAAAAGCCTGTTCAGATTTTTACTTTTAAAAACTTCCGAAAATATGTTTCCTTTTGTTTCCAATTTACAATGACGCACCACTTTGTGTAAGCATATCGTTTGCTATTCAGAAATAATCCACCATAGTTTCTGGTTGTAAGACAGAACATTTTTGACAAAGTTTCAGGGTTATGAATATTTTTGCAGGCCAAAGTTATGATATTGGACTCTATCACTTAAATACAAAATACTTAGAATAATTTAAGTATTTGAATTATAATGTTAATTTATTGCAAAGTGGGTGAATCCACTTATAATCACTTAAGATTCCTGAGTTAGATGCTTTAGTTCTGTAAAAAAAAGATAGAGGGAAAATTTGATTAACTGTTCTCGCTTTAAATTTAAGTTTATCAATTCTAAGCTTATAATTTCATAAATGTCATATTAGTGTCAGGAAAAGGGACACATTTATTCAATCACATCTTTTCCACATGATCAGCAGGGCTTTATGTTTAAAACATTTTTTTAATCACAGTTAAGGTAGTATGTCCTAAGCATGAACACCTTATGAACACGTTATTTTATATTTAAAATATGACACAAAATATGAAATCAACAAAGATACTAAGATTTTAAAAAGCATACTTCAGCCTCTATAACTTTCCAACCTTCCTCTCATCTCATATTTTCAGTAAAATAAAAACATGCCTTTTAAACTTAAGAAGAAATGTAAGTTTTATTAACTGTTGGAAAATTAATAATTTACCTCAGTTTTCATCCAATTTGTTGGTTTCTTAAAAAGGACTACACAAAAATAACATGTAAACGATTTGAGAAAATCATTGAAATTCCAAAGCAAGTAAGCAGATAGTGTTAGCAGTGCTGACATGCAGGAATAAGAATGCCGGTCACAGACAGGCAAAAAGCCAGCTCGATTCCCGACGCATGGCATTGCAACTTATGCTGGGAGCTTTGCTTGCAGTGGTTGGCCTCCTGTCTGTAAATGTGTTAAACCTGCTTTCACTCGCTCTGAATTTGTATAAATAATGTATATACATTTATACACAGACTCTAACAAGTAAAGCCTCAGGTGAAAATACTCAGAAATGCATGCTCTGTGCATCCCCGAAGGTGGACATCAGCTCCAAACCAAGTAACTCAAAAGATAACCACGCAGAAAGCAAAAACACACACACACGCACACACACACACACACACACACACACACACAAACAACTTGCCAAAAGCAACATGAGCACACAGACACAGTTTTATTTTATTATTTTTTTTACTGTCTAACACACAGTGCTGTCAGTTTCTAAACAAGTTTTCCTCTCCATCACACAAACAGCCCCAAGTTGCGTCTGCCAGTGTTATGTGAAGCTTTTAAACTCTGGAACCACATCACTCGTGTTTACCGAGACGTGTTTGTATGTTTCCCTCCATTGTCAAGATCAGTCAAAGTGAAAGAGACTGCGGGGGTGAAAAATGCTAAAGCTTTTACAAGTGTTCCAAGATTGTGAAAAAAAAAAAATGTGTAACAATTTTTTTGGAATAAGAATATTTGCTACATCGTTTAATTTAAAGCAGGGCCTGAGGCTATAGTGGCCATATAATGACAAAAATGTGACACCAATCAGTAGTTCTTTAACAGATCACAGAACATGATTTGTTGTGCATAATTTGTCAGCTTCGCTCAATGCAACAGCCCATAAATTTAAATTAACAGCTACATAGTCTGCAGAACGATGTTGATATTAAACATTATTGCCTGAAAGCACAAAATAGGTAGTGACATCTCTATTAAATCTGCACAAGGTGAAATAATAAAAATCTGCAGCATAAAGTAACTATGATAATTATACATTTTTTAACCATCAGCGACTTCCAATAAAAACTTAAAATCAATCCATTTACAAATATCATACATTCTTTGATTTAATGTCTTATCATCAAGCAACTAAATCAAACATTTCCTCATAAAGTGCACAATTTATTTATGTATGAATTATTTCTGTATTAATCTGATTAAAACATAAAACAGAACAATTTAAATGTAGAAAACGAAAATAAAAAAGCATCAGCTCAGCCCTTCAGAGAGGCAATTATCTAAGTTTCTAATTACTTAGACCAAGCTGCAGCTCGGAGACCTGTTGCTTGGCGGCCTGATGGACAAACTTTAAAAATGTAAAGATCAAATTAATAAGCAAGCGTTTTTAATGGGCAAGCTCACCATTGTTATGCAAAAGCATCACTATGCCAGGCAAAACAAATACACTAAGGTTGGGAGATGGAATAGTTTGAAGGCCGCTGCCGTTTCATTTCAAAGCATGCATTATACATCATTGTGCATAAAGAGGAAGCCTACAGCATTACGCTGTCCCCCATTCCACCTCCCCACTACAATGATTATCTTTTATTATTCATTAAAAAAAGATTGAATGCAAAAAAAAAAAAAAAACAACTTTTAAGCACCTGAACCTCGCTGCCAGCATTCCATTAATTGCCTGCACAAAGGGGAGAGCCTTTGGAGATTTTTCAATTTCAAAAAATGAGGAGCATGCATTCAGTCGTGCTCATGTTATACCGGCACTTAAATCCTACAGAGCTCACATAAAAAAGGACTCAAGGTTGCATCCGATTGAAAGCCTCCAACTACAGCCACTTTAGAAATCCATTTAGCAAGCAGGAGGTTAGAACATCTAATTCAAACACAGCCGCCCTGTTAAAACGGTTGCGCCAATGTCTTTTAAAGAAAAGCACACACTTTTCTTCTGTTTGCTTGGATCCATTGTAGGAAATATGAACCTGGCTCATAGAGAGATGGCAAGACACAAAGAATTAATCTTGCCAGACCTCAGCCAAGTGGTGAAGCTGAATGCTGGTGAATCACTGCTTGTGGAAACTTGACCTTTCCTTCAATTAAATCAAAAGCAAAGCTCCATGAGAGTGACAAAAGGAGGAATGTTGTGGCTGTAATGAAATGACAACCTGATAATCACAACACTATTCATCAATCATAGCATCTGGGATAAAACACGAAATTCTATTTTCGCTGTGACCTCTAAAAAATGTCTGAGGAGACGATAACAAAGTTTCAGACAGCAAAACTACAATAAGAAGGTGAGAAGACAATTAGTAGCCACTTAAGTCAAATTTTCTTGAAATGCATAATTAGTTAATGCTTGAGCCACTACTTTTTTATGCAGTTCAGTTGAAAGACTGTACTGCTTTCTTTTTACTGTTACTTGATCAGTGGAAAGGCATTCATCAAACAAAAATGTAGGATAACCTGACTTACAAATACAATTTATTGCTCAATAATTTTATAAACAATAGTTCTATGTTGTGTATTAAGATGGCATAGCTTCTTTTATATGAAATAGCTAGTGTATACATCTGAAGGGAACATGAAAAATACATTTCATTTTGTTGCTTTGTGACAGTGTAATGACAATAAAGTTGAGTTCTATTCTATTTGTAGGACTACTTTATTTCAGTTGTGTTGGGCTAATTAAGTATACTAATATTCATTTTTTTTCTGTCTGTCTAAATATAAGAAACATGTAAAAGCAAAAGTCACTAAATGAAATACAGACAACAAGACAGCCAAAAGTTGCTGGGAAAAAAAGAAAATGGAAACAATTTATAGCTTAATT